GTGGGGACTGGATGTCGGAAACTTTGGATAGAAAACGAGAGACGAGGAGCTTCAGACCGCAGCTTTAAGAAACTTTTTAGCGTGAGCCTTACCCACTATTACCCGTGCTGGTGGCTGCGAAAAGCTGGATCCATGGGACATGAGTGGCTCAGTGAAGGATCTAGACCAGACGTCGACTAGCGCAGGAGGGCTTACCTAACGCGTCTGACCGGCGTCACGAAACGGCTCCCGGAACCCAAGATTCGCGCCCAGCGCATCCCAATCAAGGTATATCAAACACCGTGGAGCCTACATTAACGCGACGTCTTCTTGTTTGCTTCCTGTTGCTCCATTGTAGGCTGCAGGCCTGTTCAGGTTTTTTCGTTGTGTCAAGTGATCGCAACGACACGGAACCTTGGAAGAACACCAAACATGGCACCGCCATACTTTCCCGCGTCGACCAACGGTCAAGATACCGCGCCGTCAAAATCATACTACGAGCAACAGCGCGAATTGCTCGTCACTGAAATTGCCCAAGTACGTGCACCCAGCCAATTCACCACGGAGCACACCGCAGCCCTCTAAGTCCCAGCTTCCACACCGGTTTATACTAATCAACGGCCAGAGTCTAGAAGTCGTCCTACAAAACATCAACAAGCTGAACCGTTCGCTCGAAGAAGTCACATCCGTCGGCAACGAGTTCGCGCCCGTCGAGTCGCTATGGAGTCACTTCGAAAACGTCATGGCGAAGGACCCGAGCGAGCAACAAGAAGGACCACAAGAGGGCGCAACGGAACATGAAGGCGAGACGGAAGTGCCTCAGGAAAGGAAATGAGCGATGGCAGGGAGGTAACCTTGTTAGTTTGCGATAAACAACAACGCGCCCGGAGGTGCACGGCCAGCCGTCGAACAGACCATGGCGATAGCAAGTATGATGTAATGATACCCCGGAGCGAGTCATTGGCACGGTGCGCGACACCAGGGGATCGCAGACTTCACGTTGTATTATACCTTTACACAGAAGATACACCGTGTGTATGAAACTTGAGACTAAGGTATGCACCATTCCACGTGCCATGTACATTTGGGCGAAAGCATGTATGAAGGCGGTCAGGGACACGAGTTCTGTCATCGGCTAGCGACGATCAATTTAGAGAAAACAGGTTTCAGAAATATGTTTGATTTACTTCCCCGGCGCAGGCAAATTTGATCGCCCACTGGCGCCATGCGTACATACAGAATACCGAATACAGATACAGGAAAGAAAATGCTGCTACTGTGGACTATGGAATCGCTGCGTCCATTCTCATGCCAAAAAGGAAACCCAAACGCCAGGCGGCCATGTACATGTAAAGACTTCCCTAGGATTAAGAGGAAGCGAACATGCCCGGACAGTGGTGGAGGTGAGCCGTATGTCATTAAACATCTTGATCGTGTCGTCCAGCGTCGTGAATCTCGATATGCTCTCCTCTCGATAGACACAAACAAACTATAGGACCTTGCAGCCGCTGCGCTTCTTCTTCTTACCGCCCCCAGCAGGGAACGACGACGTGTTCCCTCTTGACGAGGTCGCTGTGCCGACACGGCGCTCTTCTTGCTCCTTGTGCTCCTCGCCGACGGCCATTGTGACGGCCATGTCGAAGATCTCCTCTACACCGTCTTGCTCTTTACTACTGCACTCCATGTAGGCAGCGCCCATTTTCTTCGCGACCGCACGACCTTGCTCCGATGTGACGGGCGTCAGGCCTTGTGTCTTGAGTAGCTCGATGCAGTTCTTCTTGTTGCGCAAGTCGGACTTGAGGCCCAACAGCATGAGGGGCGTTGTTGGGCAGAAGTGGAGAACTTCTGGGTACCACTGGAAGATGTCAGCCGATGCACGAGGCAAATGAATCCAAGTATCATACCTTGTCCATGACGTTTTCTAGTGAGTTGGGGCAGTCAATCGCAAAGCAGACGAAAATGACATCTGTCTCTGGGTAGGAGAGCGGTCGCAACCTGTCGTACTCCTCCTGTCCAGCGGTATCCCACAGCGCAAGTTCGACCATCTTGCCTGTGGGAGGATGAGGAGTGTGAGTGATGTAGTTCTCAAAGACTGTTGGTACATATTTCTGCAGTCGCATTAGAATCACATGACATGTCTTTTTAGCTGGTGGTGCGTACCTCTGGGAAGTTGCCAGAGCTATAGCTGATCAACAAACATGTCTTGCCGCATCCACCGTCACCGACAACAACGAGCTTCTTGGAGTAGGCTGGTGGTTCGGTGATGGCTGTGTCGCGCGTGTTGGTGGTTCCATATGAGCTAACGGTGCCATTGCTGTTGCGCTCGCTCGGTGTGCGGGCGTGGCTGCGGACTGGTGTGATTGATGAAACGGCCGCCTTTGTGCTCTGCTTGCGCCGGAGATAGTCGTAGTTCTGGGAAGGTGCGGTGGCCATGTTTGGTAGTGTGCGGGATGTGTAGTCGTGTCCTGTTTCAGACGAGGTTATCAATACGGAGAAGGAAGATGGTGTTGGAGTTGGTGTGGGGAGCGAGTGGTCGAGGCTTAAGAGAGGTGGATGTTGACTGTTAGAGGGCTCGGTCGCATATGGCAACCACGCTACGTCTCCAGCGGCTCGCTAAGCTAGCGCCAAGTCGCAACGTGCCTGTCCATGTCTATCGATCGATGGCATGCATCCAAGCCCACAGCCTCGTCTTACTCCACGACGCTATCGCTGCCGCTGGACATGCACGTTCGATTAACTCGCCCACCTCCTTTCTGCGACCGCTGCCATGAGTCCGCGACATGATGCGCCCAAAGACACCGCAGCGACCACGGAGCCCAAATTGGACGCGGGCAACAAGGGCCACGATCACTATGCCCAACGCCTGCCCAGATGGCGCAATGCCCTGCGCAACCGCCTCATACCCGTTGTGCGCTGGGAGACGCCCTGGCTCGCCCTGATGCAGGACAAGATGCGCACTCCGGCCCTCGACTCCTACTTCGCCTATACCGCCAACCTCGGCACACATACCTTCTTCATGGTGTTCCTGCCCATCCAGTTCTGGTGCGGCTACACTAGCATTGGCCGAGCGTATGTCAGAAGCTGTCTCTCACTATCGTGCGACGTCTGACGTACATAGAACTGTCTTCATGCTTGCAGCCGGTGTGTACGGAACGGGCTTCCTCAAGGACATGCTCTGCTTGCCCAGGCCCTTATCACCCCCACTTGCCCGTATATCCATGTCCGGGTCCGCTGCGCTCGAATACGGCTTCCCCTCGTCGCACTCTGCCAACGCGGTTTCGGTCGCTTTCTATGCCATATACACCTTGCGCCAGTCAGCTGAGCAAGACAATTCGAACTGGAATGCGGGCTTACAGGCGCTGTTCTACTTCTACGCGCTCTCCATCATTGCGGGGCGACTGTATTGCGGCATGCACGGGTTTCTGGATGTCCTGGTCGGAAGTATAATGGGTGCTTTGATCACGGCATTCCAATTGGTCTGCGGGGACTGGATGGACTCGTTCGTCTTCAGTGGCAGTTACATGGACATCTTCATCGCAACTTTGGTCGTGTGCGTTCTGGTCCGCATCCATCCGGAGCCTGCCGACGACTGTCCATGCTACGACGATAGCGTATCCTTCTCCGGTGTGGTCATTGGGATCAATCTTGGTGCATGGCATTACGCTCAGACCGGTTATGCGTTGAAAGATGCATACCCCTCATCTGTTCCATTCGATCTGGAGGAGATGGGTCTGTTGAAGGCAACAATTCGCATTCTACTCGGTGTTGTAGTAATCTTCGTCTGGAGAGCGACCATGAAGCCCGCCTTGTTCACTATCTTGCCACCCATTTTCCGTCTCCTAGAGCAGGCCCGCTGGAACATGCCTCGCGCCTTCTTCCTCAACGCGTCCAAGTACAAGTCCATTAAGCCTTTCGCTGATGACGACAACGTTATTCCACCTGCATCAGAGTTGCCACATATGCTGAAGAACCTCGCCCACCCACGTAAGCGGTCTGTATCTGTTGGGCCACAGTCTGCTGCCGATGCTTACGAGACGCTTGCCTACCGAAATCGCCGACGACGGGAAAGTGTGAACTCGCTAGATGGTACGGTACCCGAAGACTCCGCTTGGATACCCGGCCCGGCAGTCCTTGATACACCCAACATTGAGAAGGGGGAACCGCTACTTGGTGCAGGTCTGCTGCCTACACCGATGGCGTCTAGGGTACACTCGTACGAGCAGATGATGGGCACAGGTGATGTGCATGTAAACGAGAAAAATACGTCTACTCCTCCGAGGAGCGATACAGACGTCGCTGGCGATGTCAACACGCTTACACAAAGCCCGACTGAGGAGGAGAACGAGAAGCGGGAGATCTTCATGAAGCTTACGACACCACGAGTGCGTTATGATGTTGAAGTCGTCACGAAGTTAATTGTGTACACGGGTATGTCACATGCTATCCACAGGAAATCAACTACTAATTATGATCAGGTATTGCGTATATCGCTGTTGCGGGTAACCCTATTCTATTCGAGTTCTTAGGCCTGGGTATGGGTCATCAGTCGTAGTTGCACCGGGCCACAACTATGTTACGTATCTTTTGCTGTACATATGCCGACACGGCTGGGTGGTCTTGGTGAAACCGATGGACGGTCTTAAAGTTTCTTCTTTCTTTAGAAGTCGAGCCTGCCCATTTAGTGTGAGACGGTCAATGATAAATGCCAGGAAGCATATCATGGTAGCCTGGAGCTACCTAGTGGTGATTGAGGAATAATAGGCATCATTTTGCGGTATGAAGGAGGTACACGATGCCCAGTAATTCGCTTCTATCTTGATTAGGCTACCTATCCGATCTCCTACAAAACTATGAGAGTGAGGGGTTTACAATCTAAGACAGGGTACACTGGATTGTGAACCCCTCTCTGTCATAGTTCTATGGGAGATCGGATAGGTAGGCGGGATACTCATCAAATTTGGCGAATTTTTTTAGTGCTACCCTCGGCAGCTTCCATGATAGAGTCATGTATGCCTAATCATTCATGCATCGATCCTATACTCCTTCAGTCCCGCATACGTGCCACCTTTGACAATCTCCTTCGTCTCGCCCATAGTGCCAAAGCAGCAATGCTCCACCTTGCCCAAAGGCCCCTCCCGAGGATCATCTTCTAGGAGGACGCCAAAGCGCAACTTCGTCTTCGCCAGCTCCTTGGGAAATGGATCCCCACCCAAACACGCCCCAACGCTCAAATGATCCAGCGTAGGATTACGGGTGGTGGCCATGATGCGAGAGAAGAGCACATCCGACGCTACTCCGTTCATGTGCAGCGACCATGCGCCAACCAGCATGAAGGTGAAAGTAATTGCGATGACGATTGCGTAACCGATCCAGAGTGATTGTTTGTAATACACGTATACCATCATCGTGCGTGACTTTATGCAAGGCACTTCTTGAGTCTGAACCACGACTAGATTCGGGTCGTTGAGAAGAGTGATGAGTATGTCTTCGAAAAGGTTTTGTATCTCTGTCTTCAGATCCACAAACGGGTATGAGGTGCTGCTGTTGACTAGACGTGTCTCAGATAGATCTGAGTAGGTGATGAGGATCTTTTGCTTTTCGATTTTGCCACGCAGGAAGCGTCGGAGGAGTGAACCGAGAGTGTGAAAGGAAGCCGTTACTTTGTATTCTTCGGCGTTTTTCTGGGGTTCGATGGGATGGTCTCCAATGACAGGACGAAGGAACTCTCGTTGCCAGCGGGTTGCGGACTGTCTGGGGTTGTAGCTCATGTTGAAAGTATATCTGGTGTACTGCATGACGCATTTGAATATTTTGGGCTCTGTAGAGACGCACGTAACAAGTCAGTATATCCACGTCAACCAAGGAAAAATCCAAACAGGCCTGCAGCCGACATCAACATGAAACCCTATAAGGTAGGTGACCTGGCGTTGATGTCGGCTCCAGACCTGTTCACCTTTTTCTTGTATGAGGTGTATCTCTTACATGTGTTACGCACAGCAGAACTTACCATGTACGTTTCCCCATTTGGCCTTGTACTCCGGTTCGTCATCGTGCGAGTACGGCTCGGAGGTGTTGATGGCGTAACCGATCCATAGGTTTGGTTCGTTCTCGAATACGCCTAAAGATCCTGTATCGTCCACTGGATCTTGATATTTGTAGTCGCCTTGATCAACCTCTGCAGTATATATAAGGCTTCCATTTGGTGCCAGTTCAGACAATGCAAATGGCACGTCGACTTCATCAGTGTTGTCGACATCCTCGCATTGGTAGCCGGGCCCCACGAAGCTGATTGTGTATGTGCAATTCCAGCCCGATCCGCAAAATACGGTAGAAGCGTTTTCGCGGGGCTGTGGCTTTTGCATGTACACGCTACTGAAGGCTAAGCGGCGCGCGTTCTTCGACGGCTGATCGTAGTAGTCGAAGAAGCTTCCTGTACCCGTTGCCGCGGGATATACTTCTCCATCTCTCCTTTCCTCTTCGGCTGGCTCAGTGGTGTTATAGAAATTCAAGCTCTTCTGCCAGAATTTACTCATGTCCCGAAAGTCGTATGTAGACTCCTGGGTGAAATTTAGGGTAGCTACGGAGCAACTGGCAGTATTGTTGAACGTTCTTAGCTCAGATGTCAGTGAGGCCGGAGACAGGACGGATGCAAGTGGTAATAACTTGGGTAGGTCAGAATAAATCTTCTGTCTTCAGTGAAAGATTTGTAGGCTTACCCAGGTACAGGCTGCCATGAGCGTAGCAAGCTTGCCATTTCTGATCATCTCCCAGTTGAGGAAAAACTGCGTCGGATCTTCTGTTGCAGAGAAGAGGCCATCGATGCCATTGATCGTCATCGCCTTCCGTCGGAAGGTATACCAGATGCGCTGACGGTTGCACATGATGACAGTTCCAACCAGTGTACTTTTCACAAAGAAGGCCAAAGCTGTACCATATCGCACCATCTTCAGTTGCTCGGTGGCCGGCTGCCCATTGAGTTGCATGTAAAACAAGTGATGGCCCACTGCCGCCGCGAATCCAGCCATGAACAATGCTACTATGAGAGCCGGTGTTGTCCAGTATATGTGCCATTGGACCAATTCGCCAGATCTCCTGTCGACGAGAGCTTGAGTGTCCGCATCCATGGTCTTCTTATTATAGAGCGAGTTTAAAGTATACGTGGACTCTCTCGCTGAGCGTATGGAGTGGCCCGAGATGTCGTGTTCTCCACGCACCGGCTCATACCGGCTGTCACCGTGTGGCAGGCCCAAGTAGGCTCCCGCCCGCAACCCACTCTTTGTACCCTCATCGTGAGACTGATCCAAGGATCGTGCGGGAGTAATGTGCGGCTCTAAACCATCCGATGATAGCCGTGAAAGATATGAGAGCTCGATAGGATCGGATTCTGCGCGGAAGGGATCGTAGGGTTCAGGACGTGATTCCGGTGAAACATCTCGTGAGGAATAAGCCGACTGAATCCCTCGAGAAGCCATCGTTATCGCAATGTTGTGATTCTAAGAGGGTGCGATTTTGAGAGCATAGGATGATTGCGACGCGGTCCAAGGTCATCAGGAAAACACCATAGTGCTAGCGTTCAGCGGGGTGTTGCACATGTAATACTGTGGGCGTATGCAGCACCACAGCAAGAGGAGGGCGACCGGAAGGCTCAATGAGTGCCGGTGCTGTCGCATGCAACTATCTCAAGGACGATTGGGATGGAGAAAGCATCGTGCCCGGGACTGAGCCCCCACTTCTCCATCATCGCTCCCTCAGGTGTGGTCTATTCTGGTCTGGGGAACCGAGATGAGGCGTAGGCGGCGCGCAACACAGAAGAGCTGGCTATTGGTAGGCTATTGTCGCACTAAGCGCGACTGCAGGTGGCTGGCTGGAAGCTGGAGATACTTGGTAGCAGGGTTAGATGTACACCAACGACCACACCTCATAAAAGAAAAAACCCGAATGGGTCTGCAGACTACGTCAAACTAGAACCTTGCAAAGTGGGTGATCCAACGTTGACGTGGACTCTAGGGTGTTCATATTCTTCCTAGGTTGGCGTTACCAGGTCGCGCGTGCGGAGGTGCTCGCTCTTACAACTTGTAAGTATGACAAAAGGAAGCTACGCAAGAGACGTTTACCGCATTCGATGTTACAGCCTATATCGCCTATCATCTTTCCGAAGGTAGTATAGTGGGGTGCCTCAGAAAGACGAATCCCTTGGTAGAAGGCAGTAGAAGACGGTGCGGGGCATGAGTAGGCGCGAAGCCACGCGACATCCTCGCGTTTCTCCATCGGACCCACTCCGCCTACCTGAAGCTTACAAATGCGGTTCCAGCGACCTTTGCCGACATCTGCCATGTTGCGCGCAGCCCCAGGCTCTAAGCTGCACGTTTACCGAAAATCCGAGCAATTCCCGGCAAGGCAAGCAAAGCATCGGTCAGCCATCCTGACAAACTCGTCTTTCAGACCGGCAGTTCGCCTTTGAAATCATGGCGATAACGCCGCCATTGGGTCTTCTCTGTGCGGCCAGACTGATCGCCAACAGTTCAGGAAGCTAATGATCCATGATAGCTGCAGTTTACAGGGGAGCTACAAGCTGTGACGTGAACGCGGGCTAGCTCTTGTTATTCTTGCGTCACTATTCGGACCTTCGACGACCCCACATGCACATGGCAGTACATAAGGAGCAGGCACCGTCATGGCAGAGACGTCATAAAAGATTCAAAGGTCTTCTGTAGCTCCTTCGAATTCCCCATAGCAAACACTCATACACATAATCAACTACAACATGGCACCATCAACGACAAAGGCATGGACCGTTCAGGGCCAGGATGGCTTCAACTCTCTCAAATTCAATGAGCAGGCCAAGGTACCTGAGATTGGCGACAAGGACGTTCTCGTCAAGGGTGCGTAGAGCTCATCGAACAGCCTTCAGCAGTCATACTGACCAATTGACAGTCCACGCCGCATCATTGAACTACCGCGATCTTATCATTCCCATGGGCAAATACCCCTTCCCGATGAAGGACAACACTGTGCCTGGCTCGGATGGCGCCGGCACTGTAGAATCAGTCGGCAAGCGCGTTACACGCTTCAAGCCTGGAGGTTCGTATCCCTATACAGACCAATGCATAAAGCCTTCTAACATCACCCAGACAAGGTAGTCACCCTCTTCAACCAAGGTCACATCGCTGGCTCCCTAGACGCACAATCTCTCGGTACTGGTCTCGGAGGCGCCATCGACGGTACTCTGCGAGAGTACGGCGTTTTCGACGAAGCTGGTCTCGTTGCGGCCCCCTCCAACTTGAACATGCTCGAGGCCTCTACCCTCTCATGCGCCGCCCTCACAGCTTGGAACGCCCTATACGGTCTGGAGTCACGCGCTCTCAAGCCTGGTGACACAGTCCTCACACAAGGTACCGGTGGTGTATCCATCTTCGCTCTGCAATTCGCAAAGGCAGCTGGCGCCCGCGTCATTGCGACAACTAGCTCTGCACAGAAGGCCGACCTCTTGAAGAAGTATGGTGCCGACCACGTCATCAACTACAAGGAGACGACCAACTGGGGTGAGGAAGCCGCGAAGCTCACTCCCAACGGCGCTGGCGTACAGCACGTTGTCGAGGTTGGTGGCCCGACCACGATGGCACAGTCTCTCAAGGCCATTGCCATCGACGGCGTCATCTCCATTATCGGGTTCATTGGCGGCGGCGGCAAGGACCAGCCTACGTTCCTCGACTGCCTGAACAACATCTGCACGGTGCGTGGTGTATTGGTCGGTTCAAGACTGCAGATGGAGGATATGTGCAAGGCAATTGAGGCAAATGACCTGCACCCCATTGTTGACGAGAAGGTGTTTGAGCTCAAGGATCTCAAGGACGCCTACCAATACATGTGGGACCAGAAGCACTTTGGTAAGCTCACTGTCAAGGTTGCATCATAGAATATGCGACACAGAGTATATAGTACAGTCTAATTCACTGCAAACACTACGCTATGCTATAACACAATTGTGCCTCCTGCCCGTCCCCCCGGCGAGACCAACTCGAACCCCCGAAGGGGTGAGTCAAGGTCTCAAACCAGGAGGACTAAGGCAAGAGTAAAGAACTAGCTACAAGAAAGAAAACAAATACAAGAGCCTCTCGCTGGATGACCAGACGAGCGTACCACGTGCCCTACTAAGAAAAAAAAATTGAGCCTCTCGCTGTATAAACAGACGAGTGTACCACGTGCTCCGCAAGAAAAGAAACTGAGCCTCTCGCTGTATAAACAGACGAGCGTACCACGTGCTCTGCAAAAATAAAACACCCCGAGGCAACTACCAAGGTACAAACAAGAACAGACCGCTCGCCAAACAGACCTCTGGACAACTACCAGGGTACCAAAAACAAAACTCCAACTGTGCAAAAACTCAAGCCTCTATGGGCGGTGGGGGTATCATGGGGTATCCGGGTCGTAATGTAACCGTCGTGAAAAACCTCGTAAGCGACCGAACTCCATGCTGTGCGCCCAAAAACAATGCGAAAAGATGAAATCGCCGACCCATGTAATGCAAGTTGAAAACAGAATTCGTGTGTACGAATGGAAAATGGAGAATGGAGAATGGAAGAGTTGTACTCATTCCAGCTCAGTGGTAGGACGGCCGGCCAGCAGAGTGGTTGCGATACGCTTGCGTGCATCGTCCATGCCGTCGGTAGAAAGGACACGAGTGGGAGCGTCGCCGCGGATGAGGGTCAGAGCGTTCAGGAGAGTGAAGACACCGCAATCGCTTCCGTTCTTCTGTTGCTCACTCCTCTGGCCAGTTTCTTTGTTCCACTCCGAAGGAACCCAGTATTCACCGAGCTCCTGCTCGAGGTATTTGACGAGCTTGTCGATGTATGTTTGTCCGTCAAGACCCATAGAGTCAAAGTACTCAATAGTGCGTTCCCTGGGATAAACCGCGAGCAGACGCCAGTGACCTCTGTCGCAGATAGGATAGAGGAGAAGGTCGGCGTCGAGGTACTGCTTGCCTTTCAGCTGAAACCTGTTGGTCCAGCGAGAAGTATCGGCAGTCTGGTACCAGAATGACGAAAAGGCGTGAAGGGGCGGTGCAGGACCGTTGCGCTGGTGAGTGAAGCCCATTTCCTTCTTCTTTGCAGCGATGAGAATAGAAAGATACTCGTTGACGATGCTGTCGTTCAACCATGCCCTGGGGTCACCGTTGAAGACGCGAGGCAACAGAGTCGCAAAGTCTCGAGCGTATAGCTTGTCGTGAATGACGAACTGGTCTGGCTTGCGGCCGTATTTGGTCTTGGCTGCGGCGTCTTGCAGTGCAGCTTCTTCATCGGGAGTGAGCGGCGCAACAAGTGGCTTCTGTGGCGGTGGAGGAGGCGGTGCCAAGGCAAGCTTCCTCTGCATTTCCCGCTGAAGGTCTTCGAGGAGTTCCAGCGAGAACTCGCACTCCAGGAGCGATTCATCGGGTGCGTCGAAAGCGTCAACGGAGACACCGCGCCAGCCGCCATTTTGCGCAGGAGAATCAAGAAGGGTTATCTGCGGGCTGCTGTCTGCTGACGAGCGAGAAGATGATGACGCCTGGCTGGCATTTGATGCGCCGCCATCGTTGTTCTGGAACACATTGTGGTATTCCCTGATCGGACTTGAAGTAATCGTCTCTAGCGTGGAGTCGAGCATCTCGCTGACTTTCGTGTCGACGTAGAAGGGCTTGCATTTAGCATCCTTTTCCCATCGCACTCCCTTCGCTCGCGGCGGAGACGGCGCATCAACGAGGAATGATAAGTCGTTGGCGTATTCGACTTCAGAGGTTTCAGTGACCTCAGGGAGAAAGGACAAGTCGTTGGCGTACTCGAAATCGGGGACGGCAGCTTCGGTTTCAGTCTTTGGTTGTGATGGAGATGTTGATGACCAAGCATTCGTGGAGTGGAAGGGGTTCTGGTTGAATGACTCGGCGAAACTGTTCTTAGCTTGCTCGGTATCGGCGAAACCTTCCTCCGTAGACTCGAGCGCGGCATTGAGGCTTGCGATGCGCTTGCGTTCCCTGTACATCTGTGCCTTGACCAGTTGGCGTCGCAGAGGTGTGACCGTAGGCAGGTTGGAAGTGCGCTTGCCATTGGGGGCTGGGCTTGCGGATGCTTGCGATGAGGAGAGTGCTTGCGCCGACGGTGACGTAAGACCTGAAGAGGCATGGGCAGTTGAAGCATTGCGGAGCTCAGAGATCCAGGCCGGGTTGGCATTGTCGTAGGCAGGCGGGTCATAGTGATATAGTGGGGATGACAAGACCGGGCTTGCGGGCGAGGCAACCGCGGGTGAGGCGACCTGAGGGCTGTTCCAGAATATTGTCATGGGAGAGCCGGTCTGGGGGTCGCGCGGCGGGGTTGAAGTGAAGACATCCTCGAAAGAGAAGTCTACACTGACCTCAAGGTCCTCGTCGTCTTCCAGGCTGACGTTGCCGCCCTCGTCGAGAGATACATCTCTATTGTATGCTCCAGGCACGATTTCCTCGAATTCTTGTGTAGGTGCTGATGACGTATATTGAATTGGCGGAACGCGGAATTGGTTGGGGCTTAGCTCTAACGCGCGCGCCTGCCTTTGGTGTTCGCGACGCGCCTGGTTCGCGCGCGCGCGCACTGAAGGCGACGGTGTCGCGCATTCCTCGTCTGCCAGACCTGCGGAGATGAAGCGCTTCTTGTTGGAGCCGGTGGCGGAGATGATGGGGATCGCCTTGATAGTCTCGCGGCGGAGATAGCGGTTTGCAAGGCGTGCGGGGAGTGAGAGCAGGTTGGCAACGCTCACGGTCGCAGCCCACTTGCCGAGCGTAGTGAAGAGAGAAGCGCGCGGAGGTATGACTTCCTCGGCGGCAATGATGTGATCTTGTGGCCATCCGCCTGGGATACGCAGATGTGATATTGAGGAAGGGGTGTGTTGCTGCGCCTGCCGTTGTTGTCAGCTCGCGTCGCGTCAGTATAGGCAGCGACGACTACTCACCTGCAGTTGAGGAGCGCCGAAGCCATTGGCAGCGACTAGCATATCCGCAGACGCGCTGGAGAGGTAAGCGCTATAAGCGCGCTTGTTGGACATTGTTGGTATTGCTTGTCGCGGTGGTGGGTGCGATGGGCAGTAGTGACAACAATGTGGTGGAAGTGGTGTAGAGTGGAGAAGGGACGAGGGTCGCGGCTGCTGCACAAAGCTGCCCGCAGTAGCGGCCGCGCACGGACCCGCGGCTAACGGTTCGCGCTAAATCGCCTGAGGCTCTTGGTACCCGGCGCGGAGAAACAATCCACCATTACGGCCTGCTTCCAAGGTAGTATGTGCCTGCAGTGCGTGGTCGTGCCTCTCCCCATATTCCTGTCATAGATCCTGCTGCCGCCGTCGATATCGCCTTGCACGCCACACACAGCCTCCGACTCCAACGCCCTCCGGATTGCAAGTCGCTACCGCCCACCGCCTCTACTCGTGTCTGCTGCACGTCATTGGTCGAGTTTGAAAGGGCAAGAACCCCTCGACAGCAGCTCTACATCACAACAACCGATCGACCCCCCACCTACATCGATCCCGCCGCCCCGCAACCATGGATACCAATATGGAGGACGTCAAGATGCCAGAGCCTATGCAGCTGTCGTCTGCCCCCACGACTGAGCCGACCACAATCCCCACGCTGGACGGCTGGATTGAGAGTCTGATGAGCTGCAAGCAGCTGGCCGAGAGCGACGTGCAGAGACTATGCGACAAGGTATGCGACATCCGCCTGGCGCACAATGTCATCGGGGATGCCTTTTCTGACAAGCATCGTGTTACAGGCCCGCGAGGTACTTCAGGACGAGTCCAATGTACAGCCAGTGGTACGTACCCTTTTTGCCGGCGCCTGCGACATCTGCTCACCGTCGCATAGAAATGCCCCGTCACTGTCTGCGGTGATATACACGGCCAGTTTCACGACTTGATGGAGTTGTTCAAGATCGGTGGCCCCAACCCCGACACCAACTACCTCTTCATGGGTGCGTTGCCTGCCTCAATCCTGCCCGCTCATGCTGACTGACGTGCACAGGCGACTATGTCGACAGAGGCTACTTCTCCGTCGAGACCGTCACCCTCCTAGTCGCACTCAAGATTCGATACCCCCAGCGCATCACCATTCTCCGTGGCAACCACGAGTCCCGCCAGATCACCCAAGTCTACGGCTTCTACGACGAGTGTCTCCGCAAGTACGGCAATGCCAACGTCTGGAAATACTTCACAGACCTATTCGACTACCTGCCGCTCACTGCCCTGATCGACAACCAGATCTTCTGTCTGCACGGTGGTCTCTCTCCTAGCATCGACACCCTTGACAACATCAGGGCGCTCGACCGCATACAGGAGGTGCCTCACGAAGGACCAATGTGCGACCTGCTCTGGTCCGACCCAGACGACAGGTGCGGCTGGGGAATCTCACCCCGTGGTGCAGGATACACCTTCGGTCAAGACATCTCGGAGGCCTTCAACCACAACAACGGCTTGACGTTGGTGGCACGTGCTCATCAGCTAGTCATGGAGGGGTATAATTGGTCGCAGGACAGGAATGTCGTTACCATATTCTCGGGTATGCTGTTCAACTCTCCGTTGCCGATGATCCCACTGACCTCGTACAGCACCGAACTACTGCTACAGATGCGGTAACCAGGCCGCTATCATGGAGATCGACGAGCATCTAAAGTATACCTTGTAAGTTCCTCCCCCCTCGATATGCTATTTCCAATATCTAACACACGTTCCAGCTTGCAATTCGACCCTTGCCCACGCGCTGGCGAGCCTATGGTGTCGCGAAGGACCCCGGATTACTTCCTCTAAGCGGACTCTTCCTCTTAGCTCCCACCGCTATCTCAGCACAGCGTTACATTTGGAAGTCATCACTGAATACACTATGTACGATTGCATTCCTGGTCACCCGAGCCGTCATGAAAAGTGACGGGAGACGCGTGGCAACGACGTGCTCGCTTGAAATGAGGCTCTCATCGTCTACAAGGCCCCAAGAAGCCGTACTAGAGACACGTGGGAATGTTGCATCAGGTGGTGATGTAGCTAGTGCGAGACTGATAATGGTAGAGAGTTGACTGTAGACCTTCCTGTTTCTCTATGTGCTTTGGTGAATATGTGTGTTGTTCGTAATACACTCCCGCGCATGAGCATTCAAATTTGATACGGGATCTATGCCCTCACTATATCGCTATACCTCCATTTTGTCGGTACCATCATGTAGTACCAAATAAGGTGTTGTATTGAGCGATTACCGTAATGCTGTGTCTTTAGGCATGTACATCATTATGTCATGTTGACTTGTTACTTCCAGCGCTGCACATGTATCACTGCAAAAGAAAATGCAATTCTCTGATGGTGCGCTGTCTGTGTTGCTGGGCACCTGGAATGGCCTTCAACTAGCCATCCTAGCTGAGTCAGCCACCATCTTGCATCTCGAACTTTTGTCCAGAACCAACATCTCGAGCCACACCACAGCGCCCGCCCATAATGCCTCTCACACTCTTCCGACGTCTTGCGCGACCCTCGATCCTCTCCGCAGTTGCTTTCGCTCCGGCGCGATCAACACGGCCATCAATCGCCGCCTCCGCTTTCCAGAACAGTACCCCGGCCTTCGCAGCCCGCCCAACACCGTCATCGCGCGCACACAAATGCACATTAATACAAGTCCTGCGACAGGGCAGGATAGCGCGGAAGGCGCGTAAACTGCGATCTCCACAATTGAAGGATAGACCGGAGCTGAAGGGCGTGTGTCTGAAAGTGGGAACGACGAAGCCGAAGAAGCCCAACTCGGGCGAGCGAAAGATTGCGAGGGTCAGACTGAGTACGGGCAAGGTTATCACGGCGTATATTCCGGGAGAAGGTATGGCAAACACATGGGAATAGTGGGCTACGGCAAGACTGACCAGTACAGGTCACAATGTACAGCAGCATTCGGTTGTCATGGTACGAGGCGGACGAGCGCAAGATTGCCCTGGTGTGAAGTACCATTTGGTTCGAGGAGCACTGGACCTGGTAAGTCTCATGAGCACACATATCATGGGAAGACATGGCTAACACTCTGCAGGGTGGTGTCGGTAGCAGAATCACCTCACGGTCAAAGTACGGAACGAAGAAGCCCAAGACGGCATAGATGGACAGTGCGGTGGAGTGTAGACATATGATTGTACCATACCCTAGCATCATGGGCGTTGAAATATAGCGGACGTGGAAATGCATCATCCAGCTATTAAAGTATGCATTGTTCAAGGACATGGGCACACCGCAGACATTCGATATGGTTGTTAATATGTGTGCATGACAGCCGTGATGCATCAGAAATCGTGTGGTATTAGAGTGTGGCGCAGGTCAATATGCCTCGGAGGTTTACCTACACTGTATGCAGCTGCAGCCCGACGGCTCGGAGGTCGCGTCATTCCAAGGATTCCACGGTCGACTTCCGCACCAAGTCCACAGCACCCTTACATCGTCGCGCAAGCTCAAGACGCTTGACCCAACTATCGCTGTGAACTGCATCTGTCTTCACAGTCGCCATGTATCTGCTTCAATAATCACTGGATTTAACCAAGACTTCGAATAGTTCTGCCTGCCGACCCATCCTCGGATATCCGCAACCGCCGCAATGGAGACGCCAGGCGCGTCTGCCAACGCGACTTCATTCTTGCCGTCGCCAGCAGACTTGCTCATGGCATTACCGCGCCTCTTCTCCAAGGCCAGTTCTCTCGGCGACATGATGCGCTCGGGTGGAAGCGTTATCGCGGAACCCACGGCCAACATGACAAACAGCACCATGACGACTACAGGCTCGGGATTTGTACAGGAATCCATCGCTGCAGCGGCTTCTGCGATGTCGACCGAGGGCGAGATGACCGTGTGGCAAGCTTTGAGGAACGTAGCCGCCTGGTTTAGCTACATTACTTCCAAATGGGCCGTCGCAACATTCGCCCTGGTGAGCATCTGCTCCCATGACTACGACTACTACCTTTTGCTGATTTGACTTCGCAGGCAATCGTGCTTAATAGAACCCACTTCTACGCCAACAGCCGCGTTCCACTTTCCTTCGACCGCCTCTATCTTCGTTTCGCCCTCTACATCATGCCCTTGATCCTCTTCCTCTATCAGACGCAGAACACTCTACGGGCGATACGCTGTCAAACCTCCCCCGGTTGGTCAGAGATGCAGTACGGAGCAGATGGTAGGCAGCTGGATACAGACTTCGGTGGCGAAGGCGGCTTTCTATGGCAGGTCACGTCAAAGATACTCTTCTGGGAGACCACAGAGAGCTCATGTCGAGCTGCGAATATGTTGCCCATCGGTCCGGCGACCACGCGGCCTTCTGGATCGCTATCGCTTCTATGGCCCATGTTTGTTACACTTGGATTTGGCCAGTTTGTTGATACCTTGGCCTGCGCCCTGCAAGGAAGACGCCCCATTCAGGAAGTCGGTATGACCATCTTCGAACATTCGCTCGCATTTGCAGAAGCTGAGGCTGTCGTTACGAAGCCGCTAGCGGTCGATTCTGTACGCTTCTTCAAACCGAAGTCTGTCTTCACTCCAGATGGCACATCCTTCACGATTCCGAGGTCGAAGCTCTCCAAGATCGCCAATGTACCACCGGAAGTGCTGTTGATTTCCCTCATCTCTAGTTTCAGCCACTTCATGAGCAACCTGTTAGCCATCGCTGGAGTGCGCTCTAGATGGCGACTCGTCACGACAACAATCTGCGGACTTGCCTATATGTCAGCTTTCGCATGGAGCTGTGTTCGTCTAGCAACCATGGTCACTGATCCAGACCACTATGTGGGGATATTGAGATTTCCTACTGTATGCATCATTGGATTCATCCCGCACTTGTTGATACTTGTGGGCATCGCGATATGCGCACTAATCTACCTGCTGGCCTTCATCATCACCGTACTTTCTCCACCTGCAGGACATGCCGACAATCTATCTCTGAGAGAGAGATTTGCATCCGCCTACGGCAATCTACATGCCAACATTCATCTGTCCTCGATTACGCCTTTGACTATCAATTGGCACGAAGATTTCTATACGACTATACTCAAGGTAGGCTATGTCATTCTCACATCCGCCAGTGAAGCCGTGTTTCTCAACGAAGGAACCAAGGTCAATGTGCACCCTATGACCTGGCTCGAAAAGCAGAGGTTGCAGGAACTACTCGCTCGGCGAAGAAGAACACGAGAGATGATCACCGACATCCCGTCCGAGCTCAGGAACGACACATTCGCGCAAGGCATCGAGGTAGTTGACGAACTCAACGATGTCAGAACGGATACATCACTGTCAGGTTATGCAAAAGAACGTAAAACGCGAGGAGTACAGGCATCCACTGAACCAGCCATTGGACAGACTGATCCTGCGATTCAACAACGTAGTCGCTACTTGCAGACCTACCAGTTCTTCTTCCGTATATCAAAGTTGATTATACTTAGTCTCGCACGGATCACAGACTGGGCGTTGACTAAAGTCTCGATCAGCTATCGACCAAGATGGCTACAACGCGCTGTTGGGTTCCACGTTGACCATGTTGATAAGATGTATGCTCCGCGACACTCCGATCAAGCGTTGGCAAGAGAGTCATGGCTTACCACAGATGATCGGTCTCGAATTCGCCAGGACCGGAATTTTGACGTTGAAGTCTTCGCGAAGGAGAGGCTCCGACAGAGTGGGTTCTATTCGGGACCCAATGGGGAAGATTCTGAAGAACGTCTTGACGACTACCTGTACTCCTGGTGGCGCAACGGTAGCCTATGGAATGACGTTGACAACACCAGAGACTATGTTGACTCGCAAGATGATGACACGACTAGCGTAGTGTCATTTGCTACCACAACAGACAACGACGAGTGGTCAGACATGGACGACGGTCAAAGAACACCTACGCGTGCAACCTACCAGAGAAGTCGGGAAGCAACACCCATCCTTGACGACGCAATGGACTTCTCGAGACTCTCTCAACTCCTGGATCCAAAATCTAGTGAGGATCGTGAAGAAGCCAAGCTGCTGTCTCGCCACCTCCAGAGCTCCAATATCATGACACGCTCGCAGTACCGCAAAGCTCTTGAGCGCGAAGAGGCGAAGATCCTCACAACATCACGCTACAGGATGAGCGGCGGCGTCAACATGACGCCCGAAGAAGAAGAACAACTTCTGGAAGATTTCATACTCAGTCGTCGCAGCGCAACGGCGCCGCAGGGCGCAAGTACAGCTGGAAGCTGGGACACGGGTGCAGAAGGTATGGGCTCAGAAGGACCGCAATGTGTAGTCTGCCAGATGTCGCCAAGGACAGTACTGGTGTGGCCATGTGGGTGCTTGAGCCTGTGCGACGATTGCCGGGTGGGGTTGGCTTCGAAGAACTACACGGCGTGTGTGTGTTGCAGGACTAATGTGGCTGCATACTCGCGTCTTTTCGTGCCTTGAGGATATAGAGGTCTGCATAGGGCTGGCGTTGAACATTTGTTTGCATGATCCTGTACATGATAGCACATTATACCAGAATCGATCGAAAATTTACTTCATAGGCGTCTACATTACCATGGGAATATCGCTATCTTTCACTTTTACACGAATGTAGACGGTAAGCCACCTGTTGCTTCGGAACTTATCGGAACGAGGCCGGCTACATTCAGGTACTTAGGCCGCACCTAGGTAGTGGTGACGTTTCCACGCGCCATGTGATAGTCGGCCCACTGCTGCAAATTGTTAGTATCATTTGTCCCCCCCACGTTCGTAGCTCCCTGAGTGGCGATCGTCATATCGATCACCGCCGACTTGGCAACGCAAACCGAGTCATCAACTGCACCCCCCGAACTCCCTTCCACTCCAAAGTTACCAAACTATCCAAATTTCGCCCACACCTCCATCCTCTGACTGAGCATTTTCAACGAGCTCGGTCGATTGCCCTCACCCAAGAACCAGACCCAAAATTTTATGCAGCCAGAGCCCATCAACGCATCACAAAACGTTTCGTACCAGCAAACCTCTTTCAACACCGCCACCACCTCCCAGCATGGACAGCGCCGCAGCCTTGACTTCCAGGTCTCTCTGCAGCCTCACTCGGGTGAGCTGCGGGGAGAGTCTGGGCCACAACCCCGCGGGTTCGCTCGCGATGCGACGCGTTCAGAGGCCGATACTGCAGTCGAGACCGTGGAAACAGATGGACTGAAGCGCGTCGCGTCTCCCTCACCACCCCCGAGGGACAGGATCACCGAATACGAGAATGCGCTGAAGTCTTCACCGCGAAAGCCTGCTGATGGGCCCCTCTTCGAGATCGTCAAGAGCAACAAGAAGCCCAGCGATAAGAGCTCGCCCATCGCGAATCTGCCTAATGGTGTGTACAAATGCCTCGAGAACGGGCGGAACGCGAATGCACGAGTAAGAGCTGACGATGCGTAGAGGTTCTGATCCATGCTATCGCCCACCTGTCACCAAACGATCTCGCCGCCGTATCCCTAGTCTCTCGCCGCTTCCATGATGTAGTCACTACCCCACACGCCTGGCAGGTGGCATTCGGTCGCTACTTCCCTGGCCCACACTCACTCGAAGATGCCGCCTTTCGTTCAGCCCTTGAGGGCAGTGGCTCAGTCGTGCGATCAGAGAAGAGACGCTTCACCAGGCTCACTGCGCTGGCATCGTGGAGAAGCGAGTACATTCTACGCACGAGACTGCTGCGGTCTTTGGTCAGGGGCAAGCCTGTACAGGTACCTGCGACACCGTCCCGCGCGTCTCAAATGCAGACCATCACCCCAATGATTACCTACGATGCCAAAACGTACACCATCATCAACCACTTGCAGGCCACGTTCGGAACCGGTTTGAACAAGAAGATGCCGCGCTTCATCCATGGTGCAGACGACATTGGCATGGTGACCAGCAGCGATCCGATGACTGGCAAAGTGGATCCTTGGGGACAAAGCGACCCTCACTTCTATGGCCAATTCTCAGAACGCTTTCCGGGTACCGCAGAGTGGGGTCTGGGCTCAGGAGAGGTCGTCGGGCGACCCAATGTTATGGACATATCGCAGCCATACGGCATGATCTATGGCCAGGGCTGTCCCGAAGGCTCGTGTTATTACCGCTCTCTTGAGGAGATGCGTGGTCGATTCATAGCTGAACCCACCGACTTCGCTATGCCTGAAGTCGGTATACCAAAGCTGGGTATCGACGGTGGTGCTATCTGCAGCGTCTGGATCGCCAAGTCAAACACGATCCCGACCCTTTCGGATGGCTTGATAGGCATGATGATGGGATCTGCAGCTGGTGTCGTCAGTGCTTGTAGCATCGGTACAGATGGTCTCCGCTCGTCCCGTGTACAGCGTGGGGAGCTGACTGCGCGCTGGGTTCTCAGCCCGGGAGTACCTATCATTGCCATCGCCGTCGACGAACAATACTCAACCAAGCGCTATGCTCAGAACCGCATTTGGGCGGTCGCTTTGAATGCACTTGGCGAGATCTTCTACCTCACTAAATTCCCAACTCGCAGCCAGGCTACGAAAGGCGACATTGAGCACTACTCGGAGTATCTAGGTTGGCTCACTGGCCGGACCGTCTACTGGAACTTGGTGGAGCCCAGCCGACGTACTGCGAGGCCTGACCCATACAGCGATGCCGATGTCGACGGTAGTTATTCGCCGCGAACCTCATGGGATGGCATGTGCTTAAGCAAGGATCAGATCATCGCCGAAACAAGGGAGATCCAAGAATATCTTCGCAAGCAGCCAAAACATTTCCGAAAAGCATGCCTTGGATGGGATATGCGACGAACGCTCGAGGTTGACTTTGCTGGAGACGACGGAAATCATGCTGGGGAATCCGTAGTGGTCTTCGAATGCGGGCTTGAAGAGGGAGACGTCGCCGATGTTAAACGCTTCACCCGATGTAAGATTGACGAAAAAGACAAGAGTACGAACATCTCAAGTCGCATTTTCACGCCTCAGCCTACGCAAGCTACATCTTTATTCGGCGGCCCCGGCGCGGATTCCACAAAGCCTCCTCGTGGTCGCAGCTCTTCATACCTCTCGACCACAAGTTCACCGGAACGAGCCGCTCTATTCGAAGAATGGAGGTGCTCAAAGTTGACTTTCGGCGGTTTCAAGAGCACTCAGGTCACTACAACTGCTTTGGACGTCTCTACCTTTGCCACTTTGACTTTGTTTGAGGATCCTGCGCTTGGTTTCTCGACTGCCTCGACTGCATCCTCGCCTTACTCTTCCCCGATGTCTGTTGCCAGCCAGCCGGCCTCTCCCTCTGACATCCCTGGACAGCGCGCAAGGTTCCTCGCCGCTGGTACCAAGTCAGGCGTGGTGCTGCTTTGGGATGTCCGGGCGCCTACGTCGCGCTCATCGGAGTACACAAACGACATTGAGCCTGTTCGTATCATCTACACCGACTCGCCAGAAATATCCTGCGTGGCTGTCACTTCACTCTATCTCGTAGCAGGTGGAAACGACGGCTTGGTACAGGCATGGGATCCGCTGGCTTCGAGCATGTCGCCCATAACAACGCTTCACTCCCGACATGCGTCGCGTGCTCGTAGACAGCTTGTGCAGGCCCAAGCTTCCGTTCAAGGAGTCGGCATCAACATGTTTGCTGCTGGTGCCGTATGCCTGGATCCTGATCCGACGGTCTTGCGCGGTGCAGTATCTCTTGGCAATCAGCTTCGATTCTGGAGTTACAGCTCATCTGCCGCCGATCAGTATAGAAGCAGTAAACGCAGGCTGCGAAGGGCCGAGCGTGGAAGTAACAATACCACAGAGCGCTTCGCCGGTACAGGCAGAGTCAACCTGAAGAACTACATTGCCAACGAACAGTTCGAGTTGGAGCGTGATAGACAAGAGCGTCACAAGCAGGCCGAGCATTTGGCAGGCCGTTTTGGCACGGAGCTACTAAGCGAGGAGGAGGCTCTAGCATACGCTGCAATGCTTTCGCAAGAAGCTGCTGAGGCAGACGAACTACGCCGCATCGAGCGCGAGAGCAGTGCCCTTAAGAGTGAGCCTGTAACGCCAGAGGCGAGCGTCCAAGGCCAACCTCCATCGCCTGACACCAAGGACGACGACGAACTGGATGCCGACATCGCCGAAGCCATCCGTCTTTCTCTCAACGATAGCTCCGGAGCTGGCAGCTATGAACCCGCCTCTACGCCTCCTCCTGCGTTCGAGATTCCGATCAAGTACGCCAAGAGCAAAAAGTCTCCGCAGTCCCGCTCCACAAAGAGCACGCCCAGGAAGGGTAAGGCCGCTGCTGGTTCGAGTAACGAGAGCGAGATGTCAGATTTGGAATTTGCCATGCAACTGAGTCTTGCTGAAGAGCAGAGTCGGAAGGATGCCGAAGATGCGTTTCCACCGCTCAGTCCAGCAGCTGGCAGTAAGGGTAAGGGCAGAATGTGGTAGTTTGGTCGGCTGACTGTTCAGCTTGTCTTGGGTGTCTTTGCTATTCATCTTTCTTTTCAGCGGTCTCACGCTTAATACATTTCGACCATCACGTTTGTTTGATTCTTCATACGGTACACCGATAGTCAGTATTGCCTCGGGTGTACCGTTGCACCCTGATCTTTCCGGTCGGGTTTCTGTATCGGGAGGGCGGGAGCTTCTTGTACCTTGCGCCAGATGAGAGCATAGTTATAGGCTATCTCCAGTAGCTTGTTGCTTTCGCTGTCCAAATATACACCTACATCAATTTTGACATCCGCACCTGATCGGTACGACTGGGCTTATTGGCACTTGACCGGTTCTTCATTGCTGGCCCTCAATGCGGTTAGCTTGGAGGCCTTACCGCCCAGACCCCTGACACTTCCTAGGCTCCAACCAGGTTGTGTTCCTGTCTCAGACGACAGCAAGTATAGAGTAGTGTCGGATAAATTTGTTCAAAAGAGTTGGGAACGCACGATATAATCTCAAACTCGACGCCAACCTGCAGTAGAAAGAGTGCTTGGCGACCACGTCTCTTCGTAAAGTTCCATCAGCAACCTGCATCGGCATTCTAAAGACTACGAGGGCAGCTTCTGAGCGGTGCCGGTTCAGAGTTCGATATCCACAGCAACTAGAGAAGAAAGTCGCAAAGGCGTGAAGGCTTACTTCCCGTCAACAGCAGCATGGCGGGTCTCTCCATCACATCAGCCCTACTTTCCCCTATCAACAAACTACGCGGAAAGTCGAATCCATACCAGAAAAAATACACCGCTCCTAAAACCCCGGCCCCAAACAGTGAATTCCTAGCCGAAGCACGTCAAGCAGCTGGCCGTGACCCCGTGACCGGAAACCAACAGCGCGCAAACGAACCCACGAGCACCGACCTCCTAGCCGAAGCGCGCGAGGCAGCTGGTCGCAACCCCGTAACCGGCCGCCCACAGCCCGTTGTCAACAGCAAGAAAGCGAAGAAGCAGAAACTGTCGTTGGAACAACAGCAACAGGCAGCCGAAGAACAGAAAGCCGCGTTCCTTGCTTGGGCGGCAAGACATCCACAGGAGGGCGGGCGGCCGTATGAGAGTTACGAGGCTTTCGTGCAGGAGATGGTGGCGAAGCGGACGGGGAATGTGGAGCAGCGGACGGGTGCGGGATATTATGCGCCTGAGAGGAGTGTGGGGGAGTATTATGCGGGTGGGGTGAGGGATTAGGGTGTTGGCACGTGAGATTGGGTTTGTTTTGTTTGTACTGATGAGTTATGGCATGTGGTTTCCTTGTTCTAGCGAATGATTTGTAGTTGTTCATGGAAAGAGCTTTTTGGGAAGGTGCAGGTGGGGAGGTCTGCAGCTGAGAGCAAACGAGGTTTGGAAGGTGCAAACGGGGGTAGATCAGGCATGTGATGGGGTCTATCAGATCGTACTTTCCGCAGCATTTCTCGCACCTGTTTCGCACAACAACGTCTTCGATATTCCTGCTAATCTACTTCCTCATACATCTTCGAGAATCGCAGTCAATTGAATCTCGCCACCATGGGTTCAGTAATGCTGCAGCACCTGCCTTCAGCGTGGCACGTTGACCAAGCCATCGTACGTTTCCTACACTCATCAACTCCACCAGACCTATTTTGTCAAATGCGACCCTCCACTACAGCCAAACTAACACCCACCAGCTCAGCGAAGAAGCCCGCATAGTCTGCCTCCGTTTCGGCGCCGACTACACGCCTGAATGCATGGAGATGGACGAGATGCTATACAAGATCGTAGACGCAGTCAAAGACTGGGTCGTCATATACGTAGTCGACAACAAGGTACTTTCTTTCCCTCCTTTCCTCCCTACCCATCCTATCGCTTCCAAACCTCGCTAACAGTCCTACCCCACCAGCAAGTCCCCGACTTCAACGCCATGTACGAAATCTACGATCCCTGCACCGTCATGTTCTTCTGGCGAAACAAGCATATGCAAGTTGACTTTGGCACGGGCAATAACAACAAGATTAATTTCCCGATTGGCACGAAGCAGGAGTTGATTGATATCTTGGAGGCAGTGTATAGGGGAGCGAGTAAAGGGAAGGGGCTTGTTGTCAGCCCGAGGGATTACTCGACTAAATGGGCGTACTAGTCGGAGGGAAATGGGGGGTGGGAGGTGATGAGAGCGAGGAGTGTGGCCCTGAGCTGTCCGATACCGAGGAAGAAGGGAAATCTGGAACCTAGGTTGAACAGATGTGGCATGTTATGATCAGCCAGAAAAGACAGCAAGGCTAAAAAGATGATATGATGTGTAATTTTTGTAAACATGTTTCCTATTGTAGAGGCAACCAGCCTTAGGTCTATTCCCCAACGGCAAAATCCCAAGTACTTGTCTCTAGCTGTACACCTTGGGCAATCGCCAGACAAGATTCTTAGACGCCATCCAACGCCATGCCATGCAAGTTAGCTCGCAAATATTGCAAATGAAACGAGATCAATCCTCGCTGTGAACAAAGCAGAACAACGCCAGAAAGGTATGCAGCGCCCTAGCAGGAAAATGTTAACAAGCCTCACTAATGCTTTGAAGAAAATAGATGCAACTTCTTCTTCTTTTTCTCTTTGCCTTCTTTTTCTTCTTTGCTGGGCTTCGTGGTACTGCTCTGCGACGGCGAAGGACTGTGTTTTTGCGGGTTGGAATTGAGGTTGATGGCACCCATGGCTGCCGTAGGAGGTTTCGGGCCAGCGACTCTGGGTCCGGATGGCAGACCCCCGGGCATGGCAGGCTTTGTACCAGCAGGCGGTGGTGCTGGCTTCGGAGGCTCGGGCTTCTCGAATAGATGTGCTGGGGCTATAGGCTGCGGTTGATCGATGGGTAGACGCAGACTGCGGCGGTTTTGGCTGAGATCGCCGACTTGGCGGAGGAAGAGCTGCGGCTTCATCATGTGTGAGGTGACAAGGAAGACGTCTCTCGAAGTTTTGTTCGAGACATCGTAGCAGGCGCGGGCCTCGGAGTAGGTTGCACCACCGGCGACGAATACGATGACGCGTTGACGGGGCTCCGCGCTCGCAAGTCGCGATTTGGCCCATGTCGGTTTTGCGGAGCGGAGGGAAGCGGGTGCAGTATTCTCCTGTGCCATGCTGGCTACATCATCGGGTGACATCTTAGTGAAGGGAAAGACGTCCTGAGGTAAGCTGCCGCGGATGTGCTCTTCTAGCATGTCCTGGAGCGCTGGGTTGAATCTGGATAGACCGTAGTCCTCAGTATTTGGAGGTGGGGCTGCCTTCGGTGGGAAGAGTGGTGGCTGTGCATCTCTTTTCTCTTTCAGTTGTCTGGCGACTCGCGCGCCAAGAAGGTCAAGGTTACGAATAACGTCGCCGTCGGGAGGTGGCAGTTGTGCGTGGAAGAGGAGCTTTTGGAGGTCGGCTGGTAGTATTCCGTTCTTAAAGATTACGTAGAGCGCGATAAGTCGTAGCCGGTCAGCTGGGGTGATCTCTTCGTCGTCCAGTGTGCGCACAATCTGGTCAGTCATGTTCTTGGGCTTACGGTAGTCTTCGTCAAGACCGGTAGCAAGGCACTGGAAAGGTTAGCGACAGCCGTGATATAACCTTGATGGGACTCACCTGTTCCACTGAAGCAAGATCTGGGAGTTTGTGCTTCTGGAAGATCTCCATGCACTTTTGCGCCATGGTGAGATGTAGCGAGTAGGCTTCCTTCATCTCCTGGAATTGGGGCAGACCAGCGATCATATCCTTGATTGCATTTAGTCCGTTCATACCAGCAGCGTTCTGGGCGTCTTGGTTTGTGAAATGGGGGTTATCGGCGATGAACTTTTGGAAGTCGCTGATCAGCTTGTCGAGAGTGTCCTTCATGTGCCGATGGCGGTTTTCCACCCATATCTTGTCCTTGTCGGATATCTCCATGTCTTTCTCCTCCGCCTCGGGGTCCTCTTCGTTGACAATGGTGCGGTAGGTCACCTTGTCGCTGTCTTGTATAGGCAACAGATCCATGGCCATTGCTTGATATGTGAACTCGTGGAGGAAGGGGGCCATGAGGTCCATGGATCGATCGGTGATGTAGAGGGCACCGCGGGGTCGGTTCGATTGCGGAGGGAAGTCTTGGTTGAACTGCGCGTACATGTCGAGCTTGTCTTGGACGAAGCGGGCGAGATGTGAGCACAAGACGCTGGCTTCGTGGGTTGGGGCTCGCGGCCGGTAGTATCGGATGATGGGGTATTCGCCGAGTGCGACGCAGATTCCGGTGATCTAGGGCTGTCAGCAGAAGCGTGCCAGGAGAGGTAGACTACCCACTCTTTCCGCAATATCCTCCATGTGGCGCACTACGAGGTTGTTGCACTCGGGGTGGTAGAGGATGGGGAAGCTCCACGGGTCTTTGAAGGTGACGAGGTGCGACTCCTGGGGGTGGAAGTCGAGGTGCACTGTGCGGAAGCTCCGAATCTGCTCGCGCGCCATCTGCGACCGGTCGATGCGCTCCTTGAGGTGTGGTGGTAGCAGCGTTGTCCATATCAGAAAGAAGCCGCGGTATCTGCGCTGGTCGAACTCGGCCATCATGCAGTCGACAATGTGTGGCTTGGGCGTGATGATGTACACGGCGTCCATGTCGCGGATCGTCTGCCGCCGGTCCTCGATGCGCTCGATGTCTGCGAGGTTAGGATGTGGCGTCTTGGGAGCGTGCGGAGTCGCGTACTTGTGATGTTGAGGTTGAGGATGTCATCTTCCTTGACCACGTTGTTGATGAGCTTCTGGCTGTCCTCGTCCACAATGAGTATCTTCCACTGCGCGGTGGCCGTTAGCGGAGTGCAGGCGCATTGGGGGGAGATTCATACGTCGCCGCGCGTGGTCTGCTTGATCGAGTTGAGAATGACTATGTGGCCTATCAGCACGTGTTCCTCAGGAGTTTCGCGGTGTCAATTTACGGTCGCGCTGGATATCGATCATGGAAGCCATGTTGGCGGGGTATCGCAGCGAATGCCGCTGGGAAAAGGCGAGGCGGTGGAAGCGGCA